ACTAGATAATGTTGTTTTCAAATGGAAAGCAAATCTAAATAAAGTCTTGGCATGACTGCTGAATTTTAAAAAAAAAAATTCGCTTTGGTTAGCACAAAGCAAACAAGCTCTTTTAGAAATCTTTCAGACAGCAGACTTATTTTACAAATTTACAAATATAAAGATAAATCTATTTAAATTAACACTAATTACGAACTTATCTGACAAAGTCAAAAAAATTACTTTTCAAGACCAGATAATTACTATGAATAACAAATATACTCTACTCAAATACTTAGGCTCCTGGTTCACCCAAAATAGAAACCTACTTATAGTTCAAAAAAAAATATTAACAGAAGCAAGAAACAGGTTAAAGTTGATATAGTTTGCAAAAATTACAAAGAAACAATCAATCTATATTATTAACAATATAATAATTTCTAGACTAACTTATAGGTTAAATAGTGTTTACCTTACTTCAACTCAGCTCACACATATTATTAGGCAATATACAAGTATAGCAAGATATAAAACAAAAATCTCTCACTTAATACCAAACTCTTTCTTTTTCAACTCTGATATATTTGCTCTAAAAGATTTTTAACAAACTCAAATAATACATCTAGTAGCTAACCTAATAAAAGTATTAAACCAATTAAATTTTGATTTTTCATTTCTAAAATACTAACTACAGCAACTCCAAGATACTGCTCATATGAATAACTCTATTCTTATACATCTACTAATACTCTAAAGCAACAACATAGAATACATACTAGACAGGCTATAACTACACTTCATGAACTCAATCTATAAATTAATTGTGAACTTAATAATTAGCCTCTTACTATCAATCTTTTAGATATTTTGATTGACTATATATTAATAGAAACTTCAGATACATACAAACTTAAAGAACAACTAAACATACATAATATATTTTGTATCAAGTAATTTTTAAGTTCAGATAACTTAAACCTACTTGAATGGACAAGTTTTCATTACAACATACAAAAGATTTCACAAGACCTAGATTCTAAATAGTTTTCAAGAATTAATAATCTAATCACTAAGTTAGCAAACCTTTTAATAGACTATATAACCTTTAATCCATTTACACTCTATGAGGTATCTGAAGCCAAATAGATTATTACAAATAATTTAACAATAGGTTATATCAGTTCTAAAATCAATTAGCCTCCAATTTGATACTATACTTTATAACAAAACAATAGTATAATAGCTTGCAAAGGCTGTAAACTAAAAGATCACAATCTCAAAAGAAAAGGATATTACTTTACAATATCATTAGATTAAACAAAGATATTTAAACTTCAAGTAGACAGCAAACTCAAAATATATACTAACTTGCTAGACATACAAAATATACTTAGAATAACTAAAAACAGAATTAATAAGAAAACTCTATAACAGATACTACAATCTAGACCTCTTGCACATTTAAAATTATATTAGGAACTATTAATGAAAGAAAATTTTTTACATAACAGAGTTGAAGTTTCTATTATCACTAAAAAGAACACTAATACAAATAGAATACTCTCACTATCTAAATTTTTATACTTAAAAACAATATAGCAATGCTTTAATACAAAGTAGTTTTTGCTGATCAATATTCTACTAACATCACTTATTTATATAATTACTATATTACCATTAAATACATCACTCATAGTTAAAACAAAATATTCAAAATTAGAAAAAGTTATATCTCAGCTATCTAATATTTGATAATATAACTTTCTAAGCCTATATAAGCAGAACTATGCACTTGTTCTCTTGGTATTAAAAGCACTGTCAGCAAATCTAAACATTCAAGTAGAATATGACAAAGATCTAGAGATTGGAGGTTTACCTAGTAAAACCTTTGTATTAGATATTTGTGTAAACAAATTTCTCTATAATCAGTTTACCTTAGAACTTTTACAAACACTATGTCTATATAATACTAAAACAATACTTAAAGTAATTACAGATATACAAAATCATCTCAAATAGGTAAACCAAAACTAAATCATACAATAGTCTTTAACAATAAATAATATTAACTAGAGCTATATAATAGAATATTTAATATATAGAGAAACACCTCTCTTATTAAACACAAGCTAGCATCTTGCTACTTTGAAAAACTTCAAAATAAAAATCTTAGCTAACGAATTGCTAATATTCCTTATCAAATACTATCATAATTCAACAAAATACAAAAACTATTTCTGTTCATGCTATTACATAGTATCTGAAGAATTTTTTTATATTATTACTTGTCGATATAACTAAATAAGACTAGAAATACTGATTCAGCAAGCTATTCAAAAAATAAGCAGAAAAACAGAAAGCAATATAACTAGCATAGATAACTTTATACATAACTACAAAGTCTTATATCTGGTTAAAGACTGTTCTATTAGATTTATTATGGAAGATACTATAGCTTTATTTGAAAATATAGAAAAAAAGAAAAAATTTATCTCATTATTATATCATATAATAACCTTATCAATATATGATGAAATTTAGTTATGCTCTAAACAATATATATATAAAATCTTTCTACTAGATTCTGAACTCTTACTACTATTCATACCAGATAAAATACTAAATAATCTTCTCACTTTACTTCTCTCTAAACTACATAACTATATTACTTACAATTTCTTAATACTTCAATAAATATATAAAGACTAGAGGTCTTTGACCTTTTTAGTTAAATTTAGATCAAGAATAAATTAGCTCTTATCTTCATCTTCCATAGACATAGATAATTATTACTTACTTATGTAAATTGTAATTTGTTTTTTTATATTATAATAAAGAAATTGAGAAAAGATTTCATTTAAAAATATATATATATATATATATATATTTTTTTTTTTTATATCTATATACATAAATATAAACTTTTTTGTTTTGTGCAAAGATACATCTGAGATATAAACCATTTTAATAAAAAAATCAAATAGATTAAAAACTGGTTTAATCTAGTTTAAATCAGTTTTATTTATAAAATCAATTTTATAATTAATATAGTTTTTATTTTAAATCGAATTATTATTTTAATCTAAATATCTGATTATAAACTAATATAATTCTAATTACTACTCTATAGATATTTATAATATATTAAGTATAATATAACTTGAATAATCTAAGCTAAATTAGTAAATAAATTTATAACAAATTAGTTAGCTTAAATAGTTAGATATTATAGTGATATTAGTTTGTAATAGTATGAGTTAGTTAAATAAAGTATTTAAATAGATAACTTATAAGTAAGTTACAGATAAGATAGCATAGTATAAAACTAATTAAATAGTTTAGTACTTATTTAGTGAACTATTTAAAATAGATAATAATTAAAATTGTATATATAACTTGTTATATACTCTTTATATAATTACTATAAGAAATTATCAATATGTAACTCTATATATCAAACTAATAAAATTATCAAACTAATAAAATTTCTTTAGCAATATAAACTACTTTAATTTTTTATATTTTAAATAATCTTGCCTGTTATTTTATTAAGAAAAGTTTAAAAAAAATTACAAAACAATCTAATATACTAATATACTTTTTTTTTTTTTTTTTTTTTTTTTTTTTTTTAAGCAAAGCCAAGAGTGAAAAAGTATTTTATATAGAGGTTTAAACAATAATATATATATAAATTATAAAATTTAACTTTTGGATTAGGATCAAAATACCGGCAAACAGAATCCCGACAAACAAAATCCCGACAAAAATTATGCTAACCCTAACCCTAATGCGGGCTAATCTGTCAGGATTTTGACCTTTTCGGGATTCTGTTTGTCGGGATTTTGATCGGCTTCCAGTAAAAATAGTATATTCCTGATAAATCTTCAGTATGCAATAGAAAAAAAAAATTGATTTACTATATATACCCTTTCTAATATGGTTTTCAAAAGAACACAAAGTTAGCTTCTCATTATATGCTTAGTTATAATAAGGATGTTAAACGATGTAAACATAATAATTTACCGAAAAACGGTTGCAATCCATTGATGTCTCTCAAATATTTATTTTAAAAGCGAATTAGATAGTTATTATTGGATTTCCAAATTTTTGCGGCATGGCTTTATTATTTTGATAGTGAGGTAGTTATTTTTAGAACCTTATCAGGAACGGTACATAAATCGATTTTTTTTCTAACCCATCAGGAACGATACCGACGATAGATCACGAACAATATTTTTGCTACTTTGACAATTAACAAACAAAATTTGGGGATCTTTGACTTTAAAATCAAGTTTTGATAATATGATTTACTATGTCCTGTATGGTCATTTTCAAAGGCAAAGACCCCATTTTGTAAAAAAAAATCTAATAAGGCTTATAAATATAAAAAAGTTTAAAATATTATTTAAAATTTTTATAGTTTCGAAGAATCATTTTTGTTAGTAAAGATCTTGTTTTATTTATAGTATATTAAAGGTCAAATAAAAAATACTTTATTTAAAAAAGGTCAACTTTTTTTTTTTTATGTAAAAATACTATATACTGTTAAATTTCCAAGAAATATAATGCTAAAAAAAAAAAATTTATCAATAATAATATGAATGAATGTAGAAGCTTATTTAACGTAATTTGAATGAATTGATTTTTTTTTTCTTTTTTTTTGTTTAAACGTTTAATTACATGTCATGATAAAAATTTATACAATTTGAAAAATAAATGTAACAAATGTTCTTTTTTTTTTTTTTTTTTTAAGATTAATAAGTTATTAATACTAGCGACAAATAAAATAATCCAATTTTTTTTTTTAGATACTTTAACTCAAAATAAAAATTTTAAATTCTTTTTTTTTTTTTAATTTCTATTAAACTTTGTATCTTTCATTCTTTCAATAGTTGCTTGTATTTCCAAAATATCAGTTATTATTCCTTCTAACTGTTTACTTTTAGATAATCCACCAACTTCAAAAAAGGTACGTAATAATGCTAACCGAATATAAGAATCCGATAATCTATCAGCAGGATGACCTGCTCCTCTTTCCCAATATTTAAGATCGTTCATACAAAATTTCATATGTGCCCAAAGAGTTGGCCAATAATGTGGTTTTTCTTCATTAGAAGGTTCCATTAATTGACTATATATTGAATTTTTAAGTTGGTCAAGACATTCTTGAACATTTCGAGCATTCTGATCACAAATTAAAGAAGTTGATAATTTTATTGCTTTTTGAATCGGTGGAAAGTCTTTAAAATCTTCTATTGATTTATTTGAAGACATTTTATTATTTTCCTCGTTCGATATAAAAAAAAAATATATATATATATACAGTATATATATATATACTGGTATATATATAAAATTTTAGTAGTTGGAAGAAATTTAAAGAGTGAAAAAAGAAAGGGATATATTATAACGAGGAAAATTAATAATGTATTCTCAATAAAAAAAACGAAAATTTTTTAGCAAAATTACATACATTTAAGTAAATATTTTTTTATCCCATGTTCAAGTCATACCTAAATAAAAAGTTAAAAATTTATTGGTATACGATGAAAGTCTTGCCAAACTTAAACATTTAATGTAACTATGAATAAGACAATATACAACATATTTTTATTATTCTGTAAAAAAAGATTTTAATATTGTCATAAGTTGAGTACTATATGATATGCAAAGATGATGTCAGACGCAAGGATAATTTTTATTAAAATTTTAATTTGAAGAAAACTATATAATTATATGCAAAACATCGGTCAAAAGATTAAATGAATATGCAAGGAAATAGTTCTACGAAAGTTTTTTTGCATTTAAAAATAGGCTAATATTGTAAAAGTCCGATTTATAGTTCTGCCAGGATACCATTTTTGATTGTAAGTCCATAAATGCTTTTGATTGTTAAGCAAGAGTATTTTTGAATGCATTGTTTTACTGTATATGTATATAAAAGTAGAACCAAGTAAAAAACGCGGCTTTTAGGTGCACATCATATATGCGGTGGAAATCACGCGCGTTTTATAATGCATTAAATAAGAAAATCAAGATATACATACGTACGTACGTACTTTACTACAGGGTCGACCAAAAAATATCATGTGAACAATTCTTCTGATACGCATTACGTAGGATATACAGTATTTTAAATTCCGATTTTAGCAATTAATTATTATAAATATTTTATTTTTATTTTTTATTTGAAACTAATAATAGCCTTTTCTGGTCTGATTCAGTCTTTCTTGGGGTTTTAAAGCCAGTCTTGGAAGTTCTATGAAGACTGCGACCGACTTGGGTTTGAACTAGCCCTATTTCTTGAGAGATGCACTGGATTCCCATCTTTTTCATATATGAACATACTTATAAAGATCTAAAAATGCCATTCAAACATGAATGAAAATTTTTAACTATTAAATACTCTATGATAGCAAAGTTTTTATTGATACTGTAGGTTATTGTATGGAGAATCCTCTCTAGATTATAGATGCTAGTATAATAGTAGAAATTCGTGAGTAGTATGAAGCAATGAAGAATATCTGAAAACATTTTTGTGTTTTTTTGAGAACATATAAATTATAACTTAATTTTTGGTTCTCGAAAAATTTTTAATGTTTTCAAAAAAATTCAAAAAATTTTTTATAATTAATTTTACAAATTTTATGTTCTCAAAAAGAGAACATAATTTTTAACTTTAATGTTCTCAAAATAATATTTAATGTTCTTGAGAGCACTGAGAACATCAGATATTTTTCACTAGTATTACAAGTTTATTGCATATCGATATCGGCCGATTTGGTTTTTTTGGGCCTTTTTTAAACCCAAACCCCAAATCGGTGCCGCTCACTTCACCGACAGTCATTTCACTTAGCCGATATCACATGGGGTTAGGGTTAGGGTTTTATTAGTTCAGGTATATATTTTTAGTAAATTGTTCACTTGGCGTGATGACGATTGTCGGTGAAATGATACGGACCCTTTTAAACACTATATGTTAAAAGCCTGTCGAACCAATAGACTCACCCTAAAACCAATGGGTTTTTTTTAAAGAATTATACGGAAACTATAGTAAATGTTCAATTAATTCATTTATTCTCTAATAATATATGGGATCTTTGCTAGAAAAATCACCCTTCGGGATTTTCCGAACGGGCCAATTCGGAAAGACTTAGACCAGAACACCAGTTCTTATTTATATGCAAATCATCTTTTACCTTGCCGATATAATAGTTTGTTAAATAAACTATTGCATCGATAAAGGTAAAAGACGACTTACATATAATTAAGAACTGGTATTCTGGTCTAAGTCTTTCCGAATTAACCCGTTCGGAAAATCCCGAAGGGTGATTTTCCTAGCAAAGATCCCATATATTAAGTCGATTTACAGAATAAATTTTGGGGTCGAACCAGTTAATGATTATTATTATTATTATTTTTTTTTTATGTGGGATCTTTTAACCTTAGTGGATTATAATTTACATAGCGTATATGGGCGGAAAATTGTAATTTTAGTGATTAAACGATGAGATTAAATAAAATCTAAGCCAATAAGATATAAAACATGGTGTGATTATTGAGATTAAAAGTGATTATTTGATAAGTGATCGTAAAATTGCTTATAAATCGCTTATGAGTTGCTTATGAGTTTTTATATCCCATTTATGAGAGTAGTGCTCCGAAAAGATTTATGAGTATCACTTTGTTATCATCTAAATTTTATTAATCTAACTAAAAATTTTCGCTCATATGGATAGTCTTCACGTGGTAATTTGCAAAGTTTTATTCATAGAAAATCCTAATTTTTGGATCAGTACATTGTTTTACAAGTTGAATAGAAAATTTTATTAATAATTTCACTTTGAAATTTTTTTATAAAGTGATCTTATTATTATTATAAATATAATTATCGTTATAAATACTTTATTCAAACGGTTCACTTTTTATAATTTTTCTTCCCAAATTTGGAGACAATGACAAGGTATTATCAATCATGGACACGAATGATAAACAAAGATACTAATATAAAAATGAAAGTAATAAAGGCGAATCTTATTTTCAAATTTTGAATTCAGTAATACTCATTAATGCAAATCTATAAAAATATTATCATACAAGATGAATTTGAACAAAGTCTATAAAAAATTTGGAACTTTATCCCTAAGGGTTCTTCGACATCTTCATTGAACTCGATAATTATAGTTAACTTTCGCATTTATTTTTATTTTCGTAGTAAAGACTTTTTTTTTAAAAAAAAATAAGCCTATAAAATAATTAGACAATTGCGGATAAATTGATGTTATTGTGCCCAATTCAAGAAAATAATAATCAGAGTCACGAGTAATAATGCGTATAAATGAGTAACGGAATTTCTAAAAAATTTCCTACCAAATTTTAATAAATTGACAACATCTTGTCTTTTTCTCAGTTCCTGTCTCAATAAAACTTAATTCATATTAAAAGATGGCTGATAAACAACAAGATTTGATATACATCAACGAAGTACTGAACTCTTCTGAGATTAGTTCTTTATTATCTCATCCACCATATCCACTGACACTCACAATAGAAGAACTGACCAAAGCGCCATCCTTGAAAAATAGTAAACCTAAATATGGCACCTCTCATGAAAAAATACCTCGTCCATCAAATCCGTTTATGATCTATCGTAAAAATTACGCCGCTAAAATGAAATCAATGAGTTTAGCAGCTCATACAACTCAAACTTCAGCGAAAGTAGCAAAAATATGGGCTCAAGAATCGAAATCTGTTAAAAGATTTTTTGAAATTTTATCTTTAATGGCCAAAAAAAATCATTTATTGATGCATCCGAATTATAAATTTCAACCAGATAAAACCAAAAAACAAAAAGGATTAAAGTTTCGTGAGTTTTGTTTAAAGAAAAAGAATAATAAAGATGATACCTCTAAATCTCATAATTTAACTATGACAACTAGATCCATAACCTCAAAAGTTTCTAGTAATACTAAATCTTTTATAACTCAACAAGAGACTTTACTGTCTCCCGAACCAAAATCTATACAGTCACCCCAAATATTAAATGGTGATTTTCTTGATATAGATGATTCATCTTCATTATTTTCTTATCCATGGTTACAGTTCATTTAATTCTTAATTTTTTTTTATTAAAAAAAAATAAAAATAAAAATTTATTTTTTATTCCCAAAAGATTTAATGAAATGTATTGACAAATTGTTTTGTTTTTATAATTTTTTAGAAAATAATTTTTAAGAAATATCCCTTTGTACTACCATAATCGCTTTTCTCTAGATTAATCAAGGAAAAGTTAGTTTAATATATAGGAATAAAAATAGAAAAAAAAAATCATTGATATAATTTTTTATTGGCTTTCGTAATATTTTGTAATACAACTATAATACGTATCAGATATTACATGTAATATAAGCCCTTAATTATTCAGAATTCCCGGTATCTTTACAAAGATAGCGATACGTATTGATAACATGATAAACTAAATTCGAATTGTATTCGAATTGTATTCGAATTTAGGTTTATTTTGTTTATGGTTCATTTATCACTGCTTTAAATTATTCCATTTTAAGAAAAAAGTATATTTTGCCAAGAATTTTGTTAACATTAGGATTCTTAATAGTATCAAAAGAGAAGTAGGCATCAATTATTTTAAGTTTTTTTTTAGCTCGCTTATTGATAATAGTATTATTTTCCCGAGAAAAAAGAAAACAATTTATTTTTTATTTTTTTTTTTAATACGATGAATATCAATCTTTTACACCAACCAGCTTAGTAATATCATGTAAAAAGGTAAAATATCTCCTATTATTTAGGTCTCGCAGCTTACTTAAAGTTATCAATTCAAGCTAAATGCTTACTATCACCTACTGTATTTATATCAATAAAGTTAATAGCAACTGAATAATGATCTATGAGCTCCATTAATTGACATCTCATTTTTCTAAAGTTACCATTTATACAGTATAATCGAGTAAGATTGTTCTAAGTAATAATTATAACAAAGCATTTGCAAAAAAAAAATTATACCAGATATTGAACTCAAATATGTAAGGAATCACGTGAATTTATCAAATACAATCCAATATCGTTAGAGAGAATTAAAAATAAAACAAATATAAATAAAAAAAAAATAAATTTTTTAATGAAATGCGTATAAAAATGCAATATTAATTTATTTTAGGATAAAAAAAATAAAAACAAATTCTTTAAATTATTTAATGAAATGCGTATAAAATGCAATATTAATTTCTTTTGGGGGGGGGGGATAAAAATAAAATTCCTATTGTAGATGCAATAATAATAATGTACAATGCAGTTTGAAAATCGAAAAACTAACTTGATTTTAATGACAAATGAAGTTTCAAGATACTCTGGGAGTCAATAAATTAAGACTTTTAAAGCATTTTTCTTCTAATAATAACATTGTTCTGATATATACAATATAAATAGAACAGAAAAATGGTATTAAATAATTCAGATCGAGAGTATAAAAAAAAACAATGATTGGTCTTCAATTAATTGATTTGGTTTAATACAGTAATATTTGATACGATGACGAAAATGAACCAGCACATTCTTGCACGAATCATTACTTAAAAGACAACTCTTTGACAGTAAAGGAATTTATTAATTTTTTTTTTTTGCGATTGTTTTAAATTATAATGTCAAACTTATTTATGACCTATTTAATACGACCAAAAATTCAACCATCGCCAGATTTTGCAATTATTATTTTTTTACTGGTAAAATTTTTATAAATATGATATAAAAAAGAAAAAAAATTTTGAAAATTTTATTTCTTTTCTATCTTTTCAAGAAAACACACACATAATTTTCATCGAAACAAAAATTTAATGAATTTAAACGATTAAATTTTTTTTTGATAAAACTTTTTTTTTTTGATAATCTGGAATATGACTGATCCTCGTTTTCCTACAACTGAAAAGTCCGAAAAATGGGTTAAAACAACTTTTAACAACTTTGAACCATCTCAATATGGACTTTTAATAAATCTTATTCAAATTCATCAAAAAATTCATACTTATGGTAATTACTTTGCTCTGGATAGAGCTGAGGATCTCGTTGATCGTGCTACAAAATTTTTGATAGATCATAAAGATAAACCAGTGAAACAACAAAAAAATTTCCGAGAGTGGATCGGTTTTTTACAAAAAAATGAAATTAAGAAACAAATTAGACCTAGAGATTGGATAGGTCTTAAAGCTTGTATTAAATTTAAAAAATTACAAATTCAATCTTTACTTAAAAAAGATTCAGAACTTGGACAGTGGTTGAATGAAGAATATAAAGGAGATGATGAAAATATTAAAATTAAATATAAGATCGGTCGTGAAATGATAAAACTTGCGGTTTTGGTGTTATGTAAGATTAGAACTTTCGAAGAAGATCCAAATCTTTTGAAATATTACCTTAAAAAGTCACAAGAATATTCATTCACTATTAGAAATATTTCACAAAAAAAATTTAAAGATTTGATCGCAATGTGGTATATCATTAATATGATTAAAACGGAAATTGAAGATACCGGAGCATTGGACAATTTGGACTTTGAAAAGTGATATTCTTATAATATACATTCATAATTTCCTTTGTTTTTTTTTTTTTTTTTTTTCTTTAATAATATTTTTTTTTTAATCTGTCTTTGGGATATAATATGTATCTAGTCATAATAAATATTAATACGTAATATATAGACTGAGAATTTTTTCCGAATACTATATAATTCATATCGGATTAAACCGACGGGAGTTTTCTTAATCATTACAAGTATAGTTATATTAAAACGCTATTTACTGCGTCAATATACTGCGTCAATATACTTTGTTTAAGGTGTCCTTTTTGATAAATCAAAATAAATATTAATATAAAGCGATCAAGAATAATCTTTGAATACTTACATATAAACTTCTCCCAGGCACAATTTAGGCTCCAAATATTTAAAAATTCTGACTTTTATATAATATATGGCGAACAAAGTTTTTCAAATGATAATATGGAAATGCATTCCCTAATTTAATACTTCCAATAAAGATTCTCCTTTATTTGGTTACAAACTTTTTGTTCATTGATACGTAGTACAAGCATTTCCATTTTATACTATAGCTGATATAGCATTAATAATAAAAAAAAACAACGATAACATGAAACCTAGATTAACCAAAGTAGTAATTGATTAACATAACAACCAATAAAATATGCAATATTTTGCGTCATAATCCTTGATTTTTCCAGATACTCCATATTAATTAAATTAATATCGAATATTAGAAAAGATATACTTAAATTAAATTACTACGGATTATTAATGATCGATCGAAAAATCAATATTAAACAATCTGGCCTTACAAATAATATAATTAAATAAATAGATTATTATTTTTTTTTTTTAAAAAAAAACAATATATTTTAATTATTAATTGTGAATTCCTAGAAGTATATATTTACTACGTATTATTTATTTATTGTTATAAGTCATCAATCGTACAAAAAAAAAAAAAAAAGGGAAATTATTAAAGCATTGTATGATGGAGAATGATAATCTGTAATCCCGTTAATCATGAGACCTTATAAGGTATTACGACGGGTAAACATTTCGGTAAAAATTAGGAACGATATAATTCTTATAAATATCAAATGCGTAGATTTTTGATTTTAAGAAACAAATTTTTTTTTTTTTTTTTAAAAAAAAAAAAGATACATAATTTTTTTTTTCGACAGAATGGCTATGGCATTAACAGAATCACATATTAAAACTACATTTCCAAATTTTAAAATTGAACAATTATTACTCATAAAATTAATTAATTATGAAAATATTTCTTATAAAAAGAATAAACAAAATATTTTAGATAAGATTTATAATAATTTAATTCAACAAACTAAAGAACTTTTAGATGAAAATTTTTATAATTATATTAAAGAAGATATTAATAAGAAAATTACTGATTCTATTATTCCTGAATGGATTGGTTTACTTGCATGTATTGAATTTATAAGAGCAAGAATTTTTTTAAAATTAATAAGTGATCCTTCAATCACTTTTGAAAAATTATTTACTCTTACTTATAATGATAATAATGAAAAAAGTTTTATTATATCTATCCCAGGAGATGAAAGTATATCATTATATTCAAAAAATAATAATGAACAAAAAATTATTCAAAATACCGTTAAAATTTATATGGAATTTATTATTATTGCTATGAATTATTTGGTGAATCTTAGGGAAGGAAAAGATTTTAGTAAAGAAAAGGCTGCTTATTATTCATTTGGTGACGTTTTGGATGATTTAAATGATCAAAATTCTCCTTCAGTTAGAGAAATTTGTTTAAAATCAATAATTAATTTGATTAAAACTGAAATAACTGACGTTGAAGTTAATGAAATAGGAAAAGAAAGGGATAAAATAAGATCAATTGAAAGATTAAGAATAAAAGAAAAGAAGATTATTGAAAAGAAAAATACCAGTATTACACGTAAACAACAGTTCGGGATGATTGGGTTATTTCTTATTGGATTATTATGGGTTTTACAATATAATGCTATTTTTAATATTTTAAAAATAATTGACGATATCTCGATCATAAATCTTTAAACGTCTTAAATGAAAAAAACTGCATCTGATTATTCTTGATACTTAAGAACGTATCTTTGTCAAAAAAAAGAACATTCGATTTTATAATTATAATTTTTAATTTTTTTTTTAAATAATTCGTTGTACCATATTGTCATTATATTGTATATTAGATTATACGAAATAAAGTAATTTATGTAATAAAATTTTAGGTGAAAAAATTGCTTGGTTAGAATTAAAGGTAAAATATCTTGGTGATTAATAAAGAATGCGTTTCGATGAAGGAAATTATTATTGATGTATTTTGTAAATAAAAATATTTACGTTGCAAGTAATCTATAATCGCTAATCACGCGAACTGTTTCTTTAAACGCTATAGAGACAAAATTTCAAAAATCTGACCGATAACTTTGTAGAACTTAACATTTAGAACAAGGTTATCGGTCAGGTTTTTGAAATTTTTTCTTTACGGCGAGTAGTAAGCCAAAAAATATATTTATTTATATGATCTTTAAAAATCGAAATAGTTCATTACATAGACAAGATACCAAAAGGATATTTGACCTGTATATGAGCTCATAGCTCTATAAAGTTACTTAAAACAATTTTTTTAAAACCTTTTGTGTAAAAAGTTAGAGATTTAAAAATTGATACATTTCACGTGATTAGATTATAAAATAGTTTCGTTATTAAATTCACAAAATCGTACATGAAGGTCTCCAAAATTCTGGGTCAAAATCTGATCGGTTAGGCTAAAAATCACTCTAAACTTTACTAATAAAGTGATAGCCACTCACCAAGTAAAAATGCCCTCCTGATAACTTTTCTATAGCATAATGCTGACTAGCTAATCATGACTCTATTCATCAAGATAAACAGATGTTAAATTGTCACCCAAAAATTTACACGCTAGCCAATCAAATTCCAAGAACAGGTGTAGCGAATAAAAAATCGTTTATACCTCTATGAAACTGTCTTCTGCGCACTAATAATAAAAAATTTTGGTAGAAGTACTATCTTTTAACCTTAACCTAATAACAAAAATACTAATTCTAACCTAACAGTATGAAATTTTTAATCAAGATATTACATATAGAGAAGCTAGTGAAATAAAATTAGAGCGATGAAATAATTTCTATTAGTGAATTGGTGAAACTAATTTTACTAGCATTTTTATTCTAAAACTTGTATAGTTTAGTGTTAGTTAAAATATGTTATTGCATTTAGTTAGATATTTGAATAGTTTAATATCTAAATATATTTAATATAATTTTTTTGTCAAAATATCAAAATCTTAAATTTGACTAAATATTTAAATATTTGACTAAATAAATATAAGAGTAAATTTATTTATTATTTAGAGTAAGATTTATTCTTTTTAAAAAATAAATTTAGACAATTAGCTAATCAAAAAATTAGTTAAATTTTGTTATTAATAATTTAGAGTATTATTTTAGAATAATTCATTATTATCTTCTATGATTATCTAATCAAAATAATTATAAGATTGTTCTACAAAGAACCAAGTATATGTTGACCAAACTTAACATACAGAGCAGGCTTTAGCAAACTTCACAACTGTAAGAACTAAGTATATAGTAAGTGCTTTTTTTACAGAAGAACTCAACACAACTTTAGTAATTATTGCTTCATCATATACTGAAATCATCTGTTATAATCTATTTTTAAAACAACATAATTATTTTACTCTCAATTCAAATCAAATACTTGAATCATTCATCTAACACTTAATCAAACTTAACTATAAACTTCTATTTAAAATTTTAATTAATTTTTTACTTAAAGAAACACATATCTATACTAACATTCTTGATCTATTACTACTATATCATATTATACTTCATCTTATTAATTACTCTAAATTTTTTCATCTACTAATTAGATCTTAAACTTCTAACAACTCACTATTACTTAATATTACAATATAATATAAAAGGATACAACTAACTATTAAAAAGAAAATTATAGGAAATATACTATCTCATTCATAATTTACATATTATGAGTCTCATAGAATCAAAAATATCAGTTTAATTTATTATACTTTAATTCTTTAATACAAGAAACTTCATTTATTTTTGAGCTAACTTTAAGACCTTTGCAAAAGGTATCTGTATTATGATTAATAATATAATCAAACCATATATCTATAATATTTATATATATCTAGAAAAAGCTATTGTTATTGATCTCTTTTTCAAAAATAACTTTAAATTTCATATAATATCTGTTTACTTATCAAGTATAAATTTAGTAATTATACAAGCAATACAAAACAAAGTTATTTACTGAATTCAGAAAGCTTTATCTACTAATTTACTTCCTATTATTATAGGAGATTGTTAATTCAAATACAGAATACCAAGTCTCTTATTCTGCTAAAACCAAACTACTTTTTTATTTACAAAGCTAAAATATGTATAACTTAGCTAATTATATATTAACTAACTAATATACTTGATAAAATAGTCACTTTAGTAGTCAAATAAACTATATATGAATACACTACTTTACTATTCTATACTTTTTAAACTTTTTACTTACAGACTCAGAAATTATATCAAATAGTGATCACTAAATCCTTACATTATCTTTGTTTTTTTCTTTTATTCTTTAAAACAGAACCAAATATAAAACTAATATTTAGTATAAAATATTTAACTATAAATCTATGAGTTCTAAATTATAGAAAAACTTTACAAATTTAGTCTTATCAAATCTAAATACAAACAAAATATCTATAAACTCAATTCAAACAGAATTATTAGAAAAGAGCTAGCACAAAATACAAACTAGTATCTCTAATACTACTCTTGCAAATATTTTAAATAAAAGATTTAAAGCTTTTAACTTCTAATACTAATATACTTTTAAAGCTACTAACTTATACCAAAACCTCAAAGCTCTAAGAAATATAATTCAAACTACTAAAAAAATTATTAGCAATATATTTTCTATATTACAACACATAACTATAACAATTCAACAACTCAACTCTAAATATGAGTTTGATATTCTACTACCTCCTTAATCTATAATACAACTTGCTAACTAGATTAATATTATTAAATAGTATTAGAAGATTCTGTTCTATACTTGTAATCTTGAAAACAATAAGGCAACTCAAGAGCAGATCTATGAAGCTCTAAACAAACATTATGAAAATATCTAAACAAACCTTAATAAAATAATTAATAGCATACTTAATAGACAAAGATTTAGTTAGATTTAATAATATTAAAACAAATAATGATCTTATTACTGAACTAGAGTCTATTAAACAAATAATTCAAATTATTTTAATAATTGAATAGTTTATCAACTAATTAATTTTAATATCTTTAATACTAACTGAACTACAGAATATATTCCTAAAACTGATATTCAAGTATATTAGTACTTAGATATCCTTTAGCTAATACTAATTGATGAAGTTCAATAATTAATTAGTCAACTTCTAAATAGCAAAGCCTGTAGACTATCTAGAATTAGTTATAAAATATTTTTTTTTTTTTTTTTTTATTGATACAACATGGCATCAGCTGAACTTTTATTAGTATTGATAGTAAGTAAATGATTATATATTGTGAGAGTACAACTAGCTACATGTACAACTTTAGATTGTCTAATTTAAGTAGTCTATCTGAAGGTTCTACACTAGCTACTATACCTAAAATCTATTTGAAGATTACTTATTTAAACCCTTTAGCCCTATGACACTTACTCATATTCTATCTTTTTCTACTAAGTTCATCTAACCCCATGCTACTTCTCCAGAAAGACACCTGAGCTGACATGTATTCACAAACTTTAGGATTCAAAGTCTAGGCTCATCTCAAATATTTCTTCCTCAACTTCCTAATCTATAGGTGCTATAGTACCCAACTATGTTACACTATATCTCAATTTAGCTTGCATATACCCTTGTTCGATGTTCATACAAACCTGATTCCTACTGTAGCCTTTTACTGAGTTAGTCATCCGTGCCTTTAGATATCTCATGAAGTAGATTCTCTCAAATCTGTTGCTTGGTATTGCCTGCTTTGCTACTAGATATCACACGAAACAGATCCTCTCAAATTTAGTTAGCTGCCAAGCCAAGTTAGTATTACCATACAACTTTATATAACAGATTTATTCACATCTGTTTTGTCAATCTTTTTGTACTCAGAACTTACTTGTATCTATTTCACCAATCTTTTTGTATGCAGATTTTTTTCTCAGATCAGATGTTAACTGGTATGACTATCAAAATCTGTACTACTTCACCTAACTTAGGATTTCTATCATGCAGGTCTCCTGTCTGTAGATCCTATCAAGATTTATTTGTGTAACATTACACTTTGCCGAATACCCTATCACACTTCCAATACCCCGATTGGTATTAGTGCAATATGATTTACAGAGTTACAACTCTAGAAACGAGCAGAGTTTACCATAAGTTGGATACAGATGTCTAGATAATTATTCAATTCTGTATACAGTAGGATTTGAACCCTAAACCTCTTGCATAGTAGTCTAGCAACCTAACTACTATACTAAGATCACCAGACCTAGTTATAAAATATTTAAATATGCAAATATTCTATTTTTATAACTCATTACTGAACTTCTAAACTAATATTTAATACAATAACAAATTTCTAAATAATAAAAAAATAGTCATATCAGACAGAACTCTCTCTATCGATCACTTCGACCAATTTTGGAGCAGAAAGAAAAATCAAGTTAACTCAAAAATTTTACTAAGAACAAGCATTAGACTCCTTAAGTAAAAAGGAAGAAAAGAAAGAAATACATATACTGAAGTAAAAAGAACAGAAAAAATCTAAAGAAAATTAAGTATTATAGAAGAAGTTCGAGCTTTGGACAAAATATGAAAACTTTTAGAAAATTTTTTGG